CGGCAGCTATAGTGACAGCTGTGGCGGTATCTGCTGTTGCAGCGGTTACAGCTGGAGTAGCCATGGCCAGCCAGGTATAAACTGCTGCCACTATTAATCAGGTTATTCAACAAACATCCACCATACTTGAATCTCAAAGTAGAATTAATCAACACATTTTATCTGGGATTCTGGCTGCTAATCAAAGGATAGATCTGCTTCAAGCTTAGGTTGAGGAGTTGTCTAATCTAGTACATTTGGGTTGTGTCGATCAACGTGTGCATTTATGTATAACCTCTGTCAGATTTAATGATTCCAGGAATGTCTCCCGCATCATCGGGGGAGTATCTATCCGGAACCTGGTCCATGGAAGCAGAAAACTTGATCCAGTCTCAACTAACGCAGATTGCTGTTTTGAATAGTACCCGTGTCAAACCAGTGACTTTGGGTCAATTCACCAGTTGGCTATCCTCTGCTTTTTCCTTCTTTAAGGAATGGGTAGGAGTGGGCATTTTTGGTGCTATGTGTTGCTTCGATGTTGTGCTTTGTTTGTGGCTTCTCTGTCGCCTTAAAACTCGCCATGCACAAGAAAAGGCTATGATTGTACAGGCTCTTGCAGCCTTAGAAAATGGCATTTCTCTACAAATCTGGCTTGCACAGCTTAAACAGTGATTTCTGGGCAAGGCCATTGCACCCCAAGTTAGTTTCACATTGCACTGGGATTGGCTTGCCCTCTTTCTTATTCTCTCCCAGTGCTGAATAGCCTTTGCACTCTGCAGGTCTTGTTACCATTGCACGCAGATGGGTTTCAGGACTGGTACTTCTTCTCTGCTATAGAATCTATACATTTCTCTAGGGCTTGGGGATGGTGTTGCCAACTTAAATTTTGTTATTTTTACCAGGCTACCTGTGTTATCCTACTTCTCGCCGTCGTCACGATGCAGGATGCGAGGCAAGGCACTGCACTTGAGTGATCCCTCAGCGGACCTCAAGGAAAGCATGTCCTATTGCATGCGGGTTTGATGTCCACGCCCCGCCCTACGAAAAAAGGTGTCGGCTGATATGGGATCAGGTCTGGGGAAGGCGCCTCCTTAGGACTGAACCATACATTGCAGCCACTTCTGCACAGTGGGATAGGACCTCTACTTTCGCCTGCATTGTTATATAAAATAAAAGGGGGAACTGTGGTAAGCCATTGTTATAGATCGTGGCCGCCATTAGAAGATGGCGCCGGCTTCCACTGTGGCCTGTGGTAAACAACTCCTTTTATGGAGAGTTGGCGCGCAATCCCCGACCGCCCTATGAGAAAGATCCACGTGGCGGCTTAAGATTGGTATGCGGGAGGCTTTATTAGGCTATGCTTGGGCGCTCGGCGGGGGGTCGCTAGAAGATGATACATGACTCAAGGCCTGAATAAACTGCTGAAAGAAGAATCCTGTGTCGTGTCTTCCTTGCTGGCGAGGGGACGCGACACTGGGGTCCTCTTCAATTGCTTTCTTCAATGTTCTATACTTTTCGAGGTCTTTCACCTCCTTGTTTAGATTTATTCCTTGGTATTTTATTTTTTTCAAAGCTATTGTGAATGGAATTGTTTTCCTGATTTTTTTCTTAGCAGATTTATTCTTGATATATAGGAATGCTATTGATTTTGTATGTTGATTTTGTAACCTGCTACTTTGCCAAATTTGTTTATTAGCTCTAGCAGTCTTTTGGTGGAGTTGTTTGGATATTCTAGGTATAGGATCATATCATCTGCAAACAGTGAACATTTGATTTCTTCCTTTGCTATTTTTATCCCTTCTCTTGCCTAATCGTTCTGGCTAAAATTTCTAGCACTATATTAAACAGGAGTTGTGAGAATGGACATCCTTGCTTGTCCCAGATTTTAAAGAAAATGCTTTCGATTTCTCTCCTTTTACTATGAGGTTGGCTTTGGGTTTGACATATATAGCTTTTAATGTTGAGATAGGTTCCTCTTATCCCTAGTTTCTTCAATGTTTTTTATCATGAATAGTTGATGAATTTTGTCAAGGGCCTTCTCTTGCATCTACTGAGATGACTAAGTAATTTCTGTCCTTAATTCTATTAATGTGATGAATTAGATTTATTGATTTGCATATATTAAATCATCCTTGCACCTCTGGAATAAAGAAAAAACAATTCCTAAAATCATTTGGAAGAATTATAGACCTAGAATAGCCAAAGCAATACACACAAGAAAAGCAAAGCAGGAGACACTACAACACCTGATCTGAATTATACTACAGAGCTGTAGTAAGAAAAACAGCATGGTATTGGCTATAGCCATGAAGAAGACCAAGGGAACAGAATAGAAGACATAGAGACAAATCTACATACTCACAGCCATTTTATACTTGGCAATGGTGCCAAAAATGTATTTTAGAGAAGAGATAGCCTTTTTAATAAATGGTTCTGGGAAACTAGATAGCTATATTTAGAAAAATAAAACTAGACCCCTATCTCTTGCCCTGCACAAAAACTCAAATAAAAATGAATCAAAGACTTAAGAATTAGACCAGATACCTTGCAAATGCTAGAAGAAAACACCTCATCATATAGATGCTGACATTAACTTCCTTAACAAAACCCCTAAAGTTCAAGAAATAAAACAAAGAATTAATAAGTGAGATGCCATAGAACTAAAAAGCTTCTACACAGCAAAGGAACCAATTAAGAACATGAAGACAGAGCCTACAGGATGGGAAAAAAATCTTGGCCAACTACCTGCTGATAGGGGTTTATTATCTAGAAAACACAAAGAACGCAAAAAACTTACACCAAAAAAACCCCCAAATAACCCAATCAATATCTGAGCAAAAGAATTAAACAGAAACTTCTCAAAAGAAGAAACACAAATGGCCACAAATACATGAAAAAATCATATGAAAAAATATCTCTAGCAATATATGAAAATATATGAATAAACATTTCTAGAAATCAGGAAAATGCAAATCAAAATTATAGCAAAACTTCTTCTTACTCTAGTCAAGAATGGCAATGATCATGAATACAAACAATAACAAATGCTGGCAAGGTTGTGGGGAAAAGGTACACTTGTACATTGCTGGTGGGACAGCAGACTAATACAACCACTCTGGAAAGCAGTATGGAGACTCCTCAAAACACTAGGGATAGAACCATCCTATGACTCAACTATCGAAAAGAAGAAGTCAAACTATCACTGTTTGCTAATGACATAGACCTATATGTAGAAGATTGAAAAACTTCCACCAGAAGACTTTTAGAGCTGACAAATGAATTTGGCTAAGTAACAGGATATAAGATCAAAACTACCAAAAGATTTCATCTTACTCCAGTCAACAATGGCAATGATCAAGAAACAAACAATATAAAAAAAAAAGAAACAAACAATAATAAATGCTAGCGAGGATGTGGGAATAAAGATGCACTCATACATTACTGGAAGGACTGCAAATTATACCACTATGGAAAGCAGTGTGGAGATTCCTCAAAAAACTATGGATCCGGGGGCTGCAGTTGTGACTCAGTGGTAGAGCTCTCACCTAGCATGTGTGAGGCAATGGACTTGATTCTCAGCACCACATATAAATAAATAAATATCCATCAACAAGTAAAAAAAATTTTAAAAATGAATAAATTTTAAAAAACTATGGATGGAACCACTTTATGACCCAACTAGCCTTCTCTTCAGTGTTTACCTGAAAGAACTAAAATTAGCATATTATAGTGATACAGCCATTACAATGTTTGTAGCAGCACAATTCACAATAGCCAAATTATGGAAACAACTCAGATGCCTGTCAATAGATGAGTGTATCAATAAAATGTGGTATATATACACAATGAAGTTTTATTCAATCATAAAGAAGAATGAGATCATGGCATTTGTTGGTAAATGGATGGAAATGGAGAAAATCATGCTAAGTGAAATAAGCCAGGCTCAGAAATCAAGGGTCAAATGTTCTCTCTCATATGTAGAAGCTAAAGCAAACTAAGGGGAGAAAGGTTATAGTGGTAGAAGGAAGATAGAGGGAGGATGAGTGGAATAGAAGGAGGAAGGAAGGAAGAAATGAACTTAACAAAATCATTTATATACATATATAAATGTACCAAAGGTGATTCCATCTTCTTTTTTATATACTGGGGATTGAACCCAGGGGTGCTTAACCACTGAGTTATATCCCCAGCCCTTTTTTTTAAATATATATACTTTATTTAGAAACAGGGTGTTAAGTTGCTTAGGGTCTCACTAAATTGCTGAGACTGGCTTTGAACTCTCAATCCTCCTGCCTTAACCTCCTGAGCCCACAGCCATCGGGCCTGAAAATTCCATCTTTACATACGGAATATGTTGAAAGTACCAATCAAAAATAAATAAATAGGGCTGAGATTGTAGCTCAATGGAAGAGTGCTTGCCTAGCATGTGTGAAGCACTGGGTTCGATCCTCAGCACCACATAAAAATAAATAAAAGTACTGTGTCCATCTACAACTAAAAAAAATATTATAAATAAATAGTGGCTGGGGTTGTGGCTCAACGGTAGAGCGCTCGCCTAGCATGTGTGAGGCACTGGGTTTGATCCTCAGCACCACATAAAAAAATGAATAAAATAAAAGTATTGTGTCCAACTACAACTAAAAAAAATATTTTAAAAAATAAATAAATAAAGGAATGAAAGGAAGTACACTAGAATGGAGGGAGGAGAATAAGGGGAAGGAAAAGGGGAGAAAAGATAGGGGGGATGGAGATTAAAATCAAATTCCTTGCACGTATGATTTTTTTTCAAAATGAACCCAAATACTATGTATAATTATAATGCTCTAATAAAAAATTAAGTCTGAAATGCAAGCTCAGTCATCAGCTGACTTGCCACTAGGTTTCAGTCTGGAAACAGTCACAGATTCAACCATTTTCCCAGCCCCTGAACCTCTGCTGCTCTCCTACAGTAGAGCTGGGATAAGGCTTCACTGAATAGGTCTGTGAGCCTTTAACAGGAAAACCTTTCCACCATATCTCACCTTGACAAGGTGTCTGTTGAGTGCAGATGTTTCCCTCTCCAGTAATAACATAAATTCTTGGAGTGGAGATCCAGTAATTCATAATTCGAAGTGGAGTTCCCCGGGCAGCTGTGAAGACAAATATGGTAAAATAGGAACTCTTTTAATTTTTGTAAGTCAGATACATAGCAGCAATCAACTGAATAATCAACAGCATTAAACACCATTTCACATGTATGTCCCACAAGACTCTTGGGATATGAGATAAAAAATATATATGACACTATCCTGAACTATATGCTTTGAGATAGATTGTGTCTCATTTTTCTATGATTATTCAAGGTCTCTACCTATCATAGTAGAGATTGAGAAAAAAACTTCCACATGATTTATTAAGATGACCAGACATATCCATTGAAGACGAATGTACCAGCAGTGTGGCAGAGAAAAAAGCACTTCTGTCTGTCCCCTCTATATATCTTAGAAGAGCACTTGTGACTGCATTTGTGGGCTGCTAAAATAATCCAGGATGATCTTGTCATTTCATGATCCTTAAACTAATTACATCTACATACATTGTTTTTACAATTAAGTTAACAGGTTCTGAAGGATTACGATATGGATATATCTTTGGGATCTATTATCAGTTTCCCACATTGAGTTCTGGGCTAAGGCATGTGACCAGAAGTAATGTACACAAGTTCCAGGCCTGGCCCATGAAAAGTTCCCAGGTAAAATCTTAACTCTCTTTCCCTCTCTGCTGGCTGCCCCTAAGAAGCCATGGACAGCAAATGTTGAAGATGGCAGAAATCCTATTAACCTAGGTATCCAAATGACTATATGGAACAGTGCCCTCTCTTGCCCCTGCTGATTAGCCTTTCTATAAGCCATAATATCTACAGTCTGAGCACTGTTAACTTGGGGTTTATCTTTTTCAGCAGCCAGCAGCATTTATCCTAACCAATTCAATATAGAGTTAACCTCTTTATCTAAATAACCTTCCTTTTCAATGTCTTTTATAGTATTTCCTTCAACAAGTAATTATTTTATTCACTTATATGTTTGCCTATTTTAATATGACTCTCACCAGACTATAAGTTTAAAAAAGGCTGGAAACTATGTGTGCCTTGTTAACTGTCATGTTCCCAATTGTCTCATCTAGGTTTTTTAAAAAAATATTTGAGGGCTGGGGTTGTAGCTCAGTGGTTGAGCTCTTGCCTTGCATGCATGAGGCACTAGGTTCAATCTTCGGCACCATGTAAAAAAATAAAGATATTGTGTCCATCTACAACTAAAATATAAATATATGTGAAATACATGAATCAAACACCCCTTACATACTGGGTGTGGTGGCACACACCTGTAATTCCAGTGGCTCAGAAGGCTGAGGCAGGTGGATTCAAACCTAGCCTCAGTAACTTAGCTAGGCCTTAAGCAACTTAGCAAGACCCTGCCTCAAAATTTTAAAAAGTACAGCCAGGGGCTATAGCTCAGTGTAGAACATTCCTTAGCACCCCATAAAAATGAAACAAATAAAATAAAGGCATGCTGTCAATCTACAACTACAAAAAAAATTTTTTTAAGTAGAAATGGCTGAGGATGTGGCTTAGTGGTAAAGCACCCCTGGGTTCAAACCCCAGTACCAAAAAAAGAGGAAAGAAAAAGAAAAAGAAAGGAAGGAAGAGAGAGAGAAAGAAAAGGAAAAAAAAAAAAAAAGAGAGAGTGAGCCCTGACACGTCAACTCTGCAGAGGGGAAGGGCATCCTCCTGGTCACAGAATTAGATCACAAAACATGATTAGTCGTTAACTCCAAGGGTCTCAAAGGAGTCTATCTCACAAGCCCCAACTCAGGATGGGAGGAAGGGGATGGTAGTTTCCAATACTTAAGCCATAACTTAATCAGACCCAGAGCAGTTCCAGACACTGGGCCAAGTTCGTAGAAGTTGCTTAAATTCTTTCTAAGTGGCTATACAACTGCTGAGACTCTGCACCTAGCTTTGCAGGCCAAGAAGCAGATCTTAATGAGAACACAAACAGGAGTTGAGTTGCCTGACTGTTAGCACATAATTCTAAAAAGAGGCTCTTCTCAGTACTCTGAGGCCCAAACTAAGAGTGATTTCAACACTCAGTAAACTATTTTCCTGAATTCCCCAAACACCTCCAACATACAAGGACTAGACTTCCAAGTGTCCCCTGACCCTGAATCTCCCACAATGTACTTCCTCTATCTGCCAGGCACCTTGTAATCTGATTTCAGGCTCCAGATCTTGTCTGCCCTCTGTACCACCAGGGAGCATGCAGCTGGGTATGGTTTGTGAACTCCTCAGCCCCTCTCTCTTTATCCTGCATCATTACAGTAATTGTAAAACCTGTTCTCACTCCTCTTCTGTAATGTGGCTCTTCCACCATCTCCCTTCCTCAGCATTTCAATGAAATCTATTTCCACATGCAGTGCACACTTCTTAGTCTTCATTTTACCAAACATCTCTGAAGTTGCTGATCAGCCCATATTTTTTGAAAATTTCTCCCCCCTTGGCTTTCAGATAATAAACTAACTTGATTCTCCTCCTCCCTTTCACTCGGTCCTTTTTCAATCTTTTTTTTTTTTTTTGCATATCACTCATTCCCTTATCTTCCATTCTCTTCTTTTCCCTTTCCATTCCTTAAATTTTGAGGACTCTTGGAATCTATCTTCAATTCTCTGAGACAGCCCACTGCACACATGGCTCCAAAGAAGATCTGTGTGAGAAGATTTCCAAATGAGTTTGTAGATACAGCTCATTTTGGGACCCCCAAGCTCCATGACCAGTGGCCTCTAGCATCCCCATATACCACACAATTAATATGACACAGAGCTTAAAAGTATAAAGTCAAAAGGACATGACATCACTTATGTAGTATACTTGCCAAAATGCATGAGCTAAATATAATCATTAGGAAAGAAACAAACCCAAACCGAGGGTCACTGTACAAAACAATAAGCTCCTTTTGAAAAAACAGTGCTGGGATTAAACTCAGGGCCTCACGTATGCTAGGCAAGCTATATCCCCAACCCAACTATGTTCTTTTTAAAATATCAATGTCATAAAAGACAAACAGACCTAAGTTCCAGATTAAACTAGACAAAGGATGTAGGGCAATTAAATTCAATATGTGACCCAGGATTTGATTCTAGAGCTGGTAGGGGGAGTTCTATTAGAATGAGGAATAGTAATGAGATAATCATTCGAATTTGAATATAAACTATTAAATAATATTATATCAATACTAAAATTTCTGAATTTGATAAACACATTGAGCTAGGATAAGAGAATGCCCCTACTCTAAGGAGCTCACACTTGAATATTTATAAATAGTTCAGCAAAAACAAATCATTCAGCAAAACAAAAAGAAAAAAGAATATTATAAAGCAAATATGAGAATATGTTAATAATGGGTAAATCTAGATAAAGGGAGTCATTATAACATCTTGAAAATTTTCTTTAGATTTATTTTATTTTTATTTTGATGCTGGTGATTGAACCCAGGACCTCATTCTTATGAGGCAAGTGCTTTACCTATGAACTATATCTCCAGCCCCTAGATCTATTTTATTTTTTATTTTTTAAATTGCCAATGGACCTTGGGGTTGGGGATGTAGCTCAGTGGTAGAGCACTTGCCTCGAATGCGTGAGGCCTGGGTTCAGTCCCCAGCACCACGTAAAAATAAACAAATAAAAAAAGAATAATAAAAATATTGTGTCCATCTACAACTAAAAAAATACTTTAAAAATTGCCAATGGACCTTTATTTATTTATGTGAGTGCTAAGAATTGAACCCAATGCCTCACAAATGCTAGGCAAGTGTTCTACCACTAAGCCATAACCCCATCCCCTAGATCTATTTTTATAATAAAAAGTTTAAAGGAGAGGGGGGTGGACAGGTTGAGCTTTGGCTAACAGTATAGTCTTGGGAAATTATGTAAGCATCATTCACTCAGTTTCCCCATCTATAAGTGTAGATAATGATAGTACCTTCATCATAAGATTTTTATAAGGGTTAAATAAGTTGACACGTATAAAGGGGCTTGGAAGACTACACAATATATGATAGATATTTAATAAGCGTTAACCAATGTAATTAGGTTCTAAAATTGAACTCATTTTTTTCTCCAACTTAGATTGATTCGTATTCTTTTTTCTAATAGCTTTATTTTACATTCATGTGATGCTGAGGATCAAACCCAGTGCCTCATGCATGCTAGGCGAGGACTCTACTACTGAGCCACAACCCCAGCCCTGACTCATATTCTTGACCATGGTTTATAGCATCATGATCTATTTAGCCTTCTGAAAGAAACTTCATATCATCCTTCTCTTTTAATATTTTTTGGTTATTAATGGACCTTTATTTTATTCATTTATTTTATGTGGTGCTGAGAATCCAACCCAGGGCCTCACACATGCTAGGCAAGTGCTCTACCTCTGAGCCACAACCCCAGCCCTGACTCGTATTGTTAACCATGGTTTATAGCATCATGATCTATTTAGTCTTCTGAAAGAAACTTCATATAATCCTTCTTTAAGTCTCTAATACTATATGTTCATGCCATAAAATATAATATGTATCTGCATATATCTGTCTCTAATAGATTGCGTTTGCCTCAACTAGACTGAAGTTGGGGGTGGAAGGCAAGGGAGGAAGGGAAAGAGCATTCTAGACAAAACAAAGAGTATAAAGGTTCAGAGATAAGAGAATAAGACACAAAGAAGTCTATTTTTATTGAAAGTATAAGTCTAGTATAAAAGTTGAGAGAATCCAGGCATGGTGGTACACACCTGTAATCCCATGAGTTGGGAAGCTGAGGCAGGAGTATAGCAAGTTCAAAGCCAGTCTCAGCAACTTAGCAAGACAGTGTCTCAAAATTTAAAAATAAATAAATAAATAAAGAGGACTGGAGATGTGGCTCAGTAGTTAAACCTCCTGGGTTTGACCCCTGGTACAAAAAAAAAAAAAAGTTGAGAGAGTAAGGGACCTGGAGAGAGGCTAAATTAAATAAAAATACATCACAAAAGGAATATTTGTAGTCAAAGTTTGAAAGGGTTTTCTGGTACATCTATTAAATCAGTGCTGGAGAGTAGTAAGCACCTATACTCCCCTCTCATGGAAGACAAAGACTAAAGCTGAGAGAAGCAAAGACAAGGCCACAGAGAGCAGGGAAGATCAAAAGTCATGCCAGAGGCAGAAAAGCTAAGCCACCTGGGGTTGACCAAGAGAAGAGACTACTCAAAAGGTCTGTGAAACCAGCATCTAAAGAACAAATACTATCAGGTATAATTAGGCTCTGGGGTGTCTAACTGAAAACTCCCTCAGACAGGGAGGGACAGAATAATCTTTGTGTTCCCAGCACAAATTATGGGACTTGACACACATTAGGTAGGTCCAGGAAATGCCTGCTGAATACATGTGCAAATACCAACTGCCTGATCACAGAGGCCAGCAAATTTTAGCTAACAGTCCTACTTCAATTCCTCCAAACTCCACACTGTTTAATAGCTTTATCAGCAAAGCTCACCAGCAGCGGCAGCTTGTATCAGCAACTCAGCAAATTCGATGGCACCTCCTTTTTTGAAGACTAATTTAAAAGTAGCCTGTCCTTCCCAGCCACCTGTGGGAAGAAAGGGCACACACAGTTACTAAGAGACTGACGCAGCTGGCAACAGAAGGACAACCACAGTCACTGAGGAAGCAATATTCAAAGAAGCAGGGCAGTTTCATGAATTCCAACACGAACCATGGCTGAATCTTAGCCTTCTAGATCATTTAGAATCTTTCAAGGGAAAAATGAAAAACACCTGAGGTGAAAGATTTACCATCTGGAGCTGCATGAACAGTCCCTTGAATGTAGTTGGCATTAAAGAGTGGTTGTTCAACAGTGCAGTTCTTCATCAAACGGCATCATAAAGGACAACATGGGATCACTAACTGAGCGTGAAGTCACGAAAATCACCTAAGTGAGAAAAGAAACTCTGGGAAAGGATGCAGAATTCCTCCATAGATTCAGACTCCTAAGAGCAAGGTCATTCTGGCATCCAAAGAACATCACCTGTTTTCTTCCATCTCTCTTTAACATGCAAAATCTCAAAGTGCAAATGTTTGAAAACTCTATGAAAGTCACAGTTTAAGTTCCATCCAGTTTTCAAAAAACCAAACATAGAATTAATTGGCAGGTCAAAAGAGAAGTAGAAATTACCCGGTATGAACTAAGAAACAACGTTCCCCTCTTTACACCACTAAAGAGGTTGGAGTTCTGTGGATGCTGTGGGAAGGAGAGTTCCACATCTGGACTCTGCTTCAAGACACTGGAAAAAAGCAGACAGCACACAGTTTAGGGTTCACATAAAATGACACACACAATGTTCTTAGCACATCTTCTAGTTCAGAGCAAGAACTCAATAAATGTTAGCTACTGCTGCTATTTTAATGAAATAAAAAGGAATTCAATTGATCTTATTTTTGTCAATTCATTCTTAACTTCTGCCTTTTTTTTCAAGCAGGCTCATTTTACTCATTCTTCCCAAAACAGACATATTACTGGTAACATGGACTTTTTCCAGTCCTGGTTATATAATTTTTGGATTTAGATGCCAGACTCATGTTGCTTCTTTATTGAAAAGTGCTTCTGTTTTTCTTCTCCCTCTTTATCGCCAAATTAATTTTCTTTTTCTTGTTGAACATACATCTATTCTCAATGTTTGTTCATTAATTTTTACTCTTCTTGTGCAATAAATACAAAGCACTGGGCTAATAGAAATATTTTGTTGACTCTGGGAAAGAAGGTATTATGGTTTAGACATGAGGTGTCCTTCAAAAGCTCATGTGAAACAATGCAAGAATGTTTGCCGGTACAATGATTAGGTTATGAGCTTTCACCTAATTGGTGAATTAACTGGGTGGTAACTGCACACAGGTAGAATGTGGCTGGAAGAAGTAGGTCACTGGGTTTATATTTTGTTCCTGGGGAGCAGACCTCTGTCTCTACTTCCTGTTGCCATATACTGAGCTGCCTTCCTCCAACATGCCCTGCCACCATGATGTTCTGACTCACCTTTGGCTTTGAGCAATGGAGTTGGCCAGCCATGGACTGAGCCTTTGAAACCATGAGCCAAAATAAACTTTCCCTCCTCTATATTTTTTAAAAATATTTTTTAATATTTATTTTTTAGTTTTCGGCGGACACAACATCTTTGTTTGTATGTGGTGCTGAGGACTGAACCCGGGCCGCAGCGTACCAGGCAAGTGCACTACCACTTGAGCCACATCCCCAGCCCCAACTCTATATTGTTCTTGTCAAGTCTTCTGGTCACAGCAACAAAAAAATTGACTAAAACAGAAAGTAGGAATACAGACTGCCTCAGCACCCTAGGACACTTTGTTCCCTTAGCCTCTCTTATTCTCCCTTCACAGTGAACCTGGAAAATTTAGACTCAGCTTTTCTCTCTCATAAAATCCTGTTGGGAGCTGGGCATGGTAGCACATGCCTATAATCCCAGCAGCTCAGGAGGCTAAGGCAGGAGGATCGGAAGTTCAAAGCCAGTCTCAGCAACTTAGCAAGGCTCTAAGCAGCTCAGCAAGACCCTGTCTCTAAATAAAATATTAAAAGGGTTGGGAATATGGCTCAGTGGTTAAGTCCTGGGTTCAATCCCCAGTACCAAAAAAAAAAAAATCCTGTTGAGGTTTTTGCTTTCTCAATAATTAAATAATTATTATATAATAATTATGTAACTATTACATACTTATTAGTATATAATAATCATATAACTATTACATAATAATTATTAATTATCAGAGATATATTGTTCAATTTTTCCTATTGGCCCTGGCAAAGACTAAGTATTACCAAATATTTACTGAAAGAAAGGGATAGGTGATAAAAACGTCATAGCAGTTTAGTGGAAGTGTTAGGAAGGAGATATACAAGGCACGGGAACGGACATAAGAGGCAAACGAGACGACATTTATGCCTACGGCCGCAGCACTACCTGAAACTCCTGAGAGGGGAAACGGATCAGCCTGAAAGGAGGAAGCCAGACAACCACAGGGCGGATAGTGAAAGTCCCGGATCTTGGGCATGCGCAGAGGATGACTAAGTAAACCTGTTGCTAATTGATACATCATTAGCATTGTGGTTTGCTCCAATTGTGTGCGTTTTCTTGCTGGAGGGGAACTGATGCATACACAGTAGAAAAAGAAATTTTGTCAGGCTCAGCTGTTAATCAACCCCAGATCACTCAAGGGAGAAATGGTAGAACTAGCACAGGAATGACCTCATAGAAACGCTTAAGTTTAAGTTGCTTCTTAAGAGATGGGTAGTGTTTCAGTAAGCAGAGGTGAGGGTAGGGGACAATCCAAATGTGGAGCAAACAGCATTAATGGAGATACATGAGTGGATAATGGAAAACAAATTGCATACTTGGGAGAAGCTAGTGGCGTGGCTTCATCAAAGTATGTGAGGTCACAAGGAACAGTGAGAAATTTGGAAAGACAGGCTAGGACTGGAGCCTGGAGACATCATTTGACACACAAGGAGGAACTGTGAGCTTTCTCAGTAGGGAAGTCACAGATTTGAAGAAGCCCTGATATACTGGAGAGGTCAGTTTAAGAGTTCCTAAAATAGACATGATGTATTAAGAACTAGAACTAGAGTGGTATTGTGCAGCTAAAAAATAGATGAATTTTTTAGGTTTATTAAAGTATAGGCTATCAAAAAACAATAAAATAGGGAATTCCAAATATCAGTCTAGTCAAAGCAATGAACAAACTGGAAAGAAAAAAAACTGTCAGGAACAACTTTTTCAGAACAACTTGAAACTAATCAAAAGCTTACTACCAGACATAATGGCCCCTGCCTGTGATCCCAGCAACTTGGGAGGCTGAGGCAGGATCACCAAAAAAAAAAGCTTACATGTTCCTGCCACTATCATCTACCATGATATGATGTACCCGAGAGGTGGTCACACCAAAGGTTAGCAAATGTCAACAGTTTCACAGAAAAATCACATGTATACCAAATGATCTTCAGAATAACAGAATGGAATGGAAATCCCTAACGGATGAGTACCATGCAAAGATGAAGGCAAATGAGGAAGCAAAAAAGCAGGAAGCAGTAAACACACTGCAAAGCTGACAAAGATTCAGGAAGTGGTTCTGGGTGTGGTGGTGTAGGCTTGTACTCCAAGCTACCCAGGAGGCTAGGGCAAGAGGGTCACAAGTTCAAGGCCAACCTTGGCAACTTAATGAGACCCTGTCTCAAAAATAAATAAATAAATAAGACTGAGGTTGTAGCTCAGTGGTAAGAGTATCCCTGGGTTCAATCCCTGGTCACACATGCACACATACACACACAAAATAAAGATTCAAGAGGTGGAAGTGATGACAAAAAATCCAGAACTTGTTTAATGTTTGAATACAATCCAACTATCTAAATTTTGAATAGCATTTAACTTTCAAAGTAAAAAAAGAGGATGCAGAAAAGCTCAAGATGTGGGCTAGAGATGCTCAGCACTAGTGTTCTTAGTTGGAAAATAAGCAACAGGTGTCTAACTGCTTGTGGAGATGAGCAGCTGTGGGTGAGCGCTGGAAATTGATGACCCAGCAAATGAAACCTGCCGACTCCAGAAACTAGTGAGAATAACAAAGCAAGAGAAGTGGAAAATCCCAATTACTGACACCTGGGATCTTCGTCAAGGGAAAAGGATCGTCCAGGGAGATAAAGGTAAAAGAGGGTCATAGCAGAAGTCTGTACCTGGCAGACAAGCAGCTTAAATCAGTACGTGACCTGGAGCCTAAACAACAAGCTAGATACAGAGAAGACATTTACTGCACCTCAGCAAACTCCCAGAGTACTCCCATCCAGTGGTCATCTTGAGAAGAGCTCTTACGTTAGGGGTTAAACTGCTCTGGGCATCAGAAAACCCAGCACAATCACATGTCAGACTCCCACACACACCTCATTGCCCTGACTGTGTTGGCAGCGGCCACACAACTCAGTGGTGGCTTTCAGTATTCTGACACAAACTTGCTCAGAAGTTTATGCAGTGGAGAGCATAAGCTAGGATGGGGAAGGACAGGGAGGCCATCGTGATTCTATAATCCTGCCCTCTGTGTTGGGAAGCAACACTATTCACGTGTGGTTTCTGGTGGGGGGGCTAGATCTGAAGGCCATGGGGCTGAGGATAGCAAATTGTTCAGCTCTTGCTCACCTGCCCCCACGCCACAGATCCCCACCCCAGCACAGAGCTCAGTGGTTCAATTGCTCCCCTCACCCTCAGAGGCATCCCAGGGCCAACTTGGCCTAGACATTGCCATGCCCCTGCGTATGCAAACTAAAATCTTCCAGAGAGGATACACACCTGGCACAGTCAACATTATCTTAACCTGTTCAACAAGAAACAAGGGGTGCAGCCTGTACTCCATCCCAACTCACTTGGTTAGAGTTGAGGACTTGCAAATGCTACCCACTACCCACCTGCCACATACCTGGCATATTCTTACCTTAGAAGAATCCCAGCATTTCCAAAAACACCAAGAGGAGGATTTTTTGATATTTTTCTCCATCTATTCAATCTTTTATTATTATTCTTCATTTCTCATTAATATTTTCCTTATTTTATTTTACCTTTTTTTGGGGGGGGAGGCTACCAGGGATTGAACTCAACCACTGAGCCACATCCCCAGCCCTACTTTGTATTTTGTTTAGAGACAGCATCTCACCGAGTTGCTTAGTCTCGCTTTTGCTGGGGCTGGCTTTGAACTTGCAATCCTCCCGCCTCAGCCTCCCGAACTGCCGGTTTTACAGGCATGTGCCACAGTGACTGGCTTACCCTATGTTTTTATTCTTTAGTTGGATTTTTCTCTTCTTTCTCATTTTTCCCTTTTTATTTCTATTCATAATATATATTTTTATTCTTTATTTTTTTTAGTCCTCTCTTTGTTTTTCCTTCTGGTACTGGGATTGAGCCCAGGGTCTCATGTACATTGGGCAGGTGCTCTGCCTGATTCCCAACTCAGCAGAGAGGAGTTAAGCCCAGTTTTGACCACAACCCAGTCCACTTGAACCCTGGCACACACTTCTACTGAAGGAAAATGGGGGACATAATCTTCCAGCTGTTGACCCATTCCTAGGTAAGCACATATGGGTGAGGCTGAGGTCCAGCTCCTGAGAAGATACCCACAAAACCCCAGCAAAGAGAAAAACTTAACAGTAGATGATACTTCATCTTCACAGTTTCCTTACACAGCCATACCAGGTCAGATGGCAGAGAGATGATAAGTTTGAAGGTGAGAATCATGGAGGGGAGCT